ACAATACCTTAGAACTTTCTTTACAAATACTATCAATTATTTCTGGTACAGTTAGTCAACAACTACTTAACCAAGTATATTTTTTTCTTTATAAATACATACAATCTTTCTTTATCAATCTTTCTAATAGTCTTCTTAATTGGTTTATAACTGAAATCTGAACTCCAAGAAATCAAACCCAACATAGTTGGAAACTTGCAAGACCAATTTATTCAAAAATTACTTTTCCAAAACTTTACAATTTTCTCATATATTAATTAACTATATAAACTATTTTATAAAATTTTACAAATCTTATATATATTACTTAATTTTATTACTATCATATACCCATTTAACAACTTATTTTTTATCCAATCTTTATTAAGACTTGATACATCTAAAACTAAACTAAATTCTAAAACTTCCTCTTACTACACAAACTCTTCACCTTAACTACTATCTATATTACCCATACTATTGCCAACTTCACCAAAACCTTCTGTATGATGTAACATCTGCAACTTTTCTAACCTCTGCGTATATTTTTTCTTCAGATCAAGAAAATAATTTAAAACACAACTATCTTGACCACCTTCTGAACCTTGTTTTGACATCTGATTTCGTATTTGTTCTTCTATTTCCTCTAGCCTTTTTCTCAAAGACTTCTCTTCAATTTGCAAACTACATAATTAATATCTTACTTAACCCTTTCAAAATATGATCTTTTTTGCCAACCTATCTATATTAATAATACAAATGCATATCTTTCTATTCTTGAAAACCCAATTGACAAAAAATTATAGGAATAAATCTCCTTAGCCTACTCTTCTAAAATCTTACTAACATTCTTCTCAATCTCAATTTGCAACAAAAGTATCTCTTCTTCTTGAGTTAAAGCTACCACTTTATTTTGAAACAAATCTTTATTTTCTTTTAATGGCAAATCTTCTATTCCTCTTAAAGGCAAACTTCTTTTAAAACTTCTTTTTAAGTATGCTCTAAAATAACTTTGTTGACTCATTTTTACTTGAAATATAAACCAACTCTAAATACAAAACTTTAAATATATATGCCAACTAACACATAGTTAAATTAAGCAATCTGATTGGTAGATCTTATCCAAAACAAATGTTCAAAAATATACAAAAATGATTTTCATTATCCTGATAGTTATAGTATAGTAGTTAGGGTGTATTGCACTACAGGGCTGTACGTTCAAACCTTCTAGTAGTATGTTAGGCCCGGTGCATCGAGGTAGCATTACCTACTACAATACGAATATACTTTTTTTTTCTTTTTTCTCTTATTTTAATTATTATTTATATAGCTTTTTCTTATAACTTTTTATATATCATAGCTTAAATATATAACACTGCAGGGTTATAAATTCAATTTTTCTTCTTTCTTCTCTTACTATTTTTATTTTTATTTTTATTTTTTTCTAACTTCAACTTCTATTATTATTACTTTTCTTACAATATTCCTTTAGCTCTATTAAAACTATTTTAATCTAAATATATATATACCTTACTATTTTATATTAAACAAGGTTTTTCTCCAGCCTTTTTTTAGCTAATAGTAGTTTCGTTAACTTAAATTAGCTTTAAAATAGAAAATTAGAGATGTAATGTCATTGATTAACTATTATGTATTTATGTGATACTTTGTAAAAGTTATTCGCTTTTCTATATATAATATTAATATTAATAAAAAAAAAAAAAATTTTTAATATATATAAAGTGACCAAATTTAAAATTTTAATATAAGCAAAAATAGTAGCAAATTTAGAATTTTTCTAATTATCTCTTTAGTTTTAAATTAAAATATACCTTATTGGGTATCTAAATACTCGGAATTTTGTCCTTTATCTATCTATTAAATTAGATTTTTTGTTTATATATAAAGTAACCAAATTTAAATTTTTAAGAGACCAAATTTGCTTTTTTATATATATAAAAAGTGGCCAAATTTCAACTTAATTATAAAAATACTATAATTTCAACTTGCTATAACTTTTTTATAAATAGATTTACCAAAAATTTAAGAATATAAAAGTGTTCAGCTTGTCTTAATTTAACATTTTAAGATAGTATTTTTTTTTACTATTTTTTTTAAAAAAGAATTAGCAATTGAATCTCATCAATTTTATTGGTTAGGACTAGGTTGTATGCACAGTTGACAAAAAACTATATAAAGCCATAAGTAGTTTTATATCTTTTGTTGTTAATTAGTAGTTTATATAATATAATTTTTTTATAATGGTTATCTAGTTTTAAACATCCAATCTAATGTTTATATGACCATAAGAACAAGTTACATGTTCCACCATATCAGTATAGTGTAAATAATATACCAAAAAGTGTAAGCAAAAAGTTAATTTGGAAATTGCTTATATTCTGAAAATGATTTTAAAATAATTTTATATAAGCTTCTATGTGAAGCAAAGAGACCTGTTGGCTTTATAAATGGGGATGATTATGACAAGCTAACAAGGTCTCTAAATAATATATACAATAGTATAGTTATATACTATACTAATAAATTACATATTATTGACACTTATATAAAAGAACTATTTGAAAAATTAAAGATATTAGGGCTCTATGTTTATGGTATTTTTTATTTAATTTTGTTTATTATTACTAAGTATTATCTATTTATCTATTTATTTATTTATCCATTATCTATTATTAGATAGGAAGGCAGCTCTATTGCTGCTTGACCCTATTTTGAATGATATTGGGCATATTTACCTAATTAATCAAGTTGTAATCCCAATAACTAAATCTATTCATGAAGCAGGGCACATGTTAAAGCTATTTTTCTAAATAAAAGTATGTAACAGTTTATTTTATGCCAAAAATAATGCAAATAGTTAATATATAATTATTTTAGAATATAATTTTTCAAACCGATGAGATCTTTGATAAAATCGAAAAATTATTGAGAACCAAAAAGATCTCAGCCATGTACCAAATAATGTGAACAATAAAGAACTTTGGTTTCGCATTATAATTTTTGTTGAGCTAATTTCACAAATGCCGGCAACGCCTGAAAGGAAATCTAAAAACTAAACACTAGATGTTAATTGAATATAAAAAATTACTCAATAAATATTTCAAAATATATGATTTTTAGCTTTTAAATTGATTATATAATATAATTATTGGATCAATAACTATATATCGTTGTCTCCATAAAAATCTCAGATATAAATTCTTAGCAAAATTAATTTTATACTTTTGATCAGTATTTAATTTGGCTAAACAATATAAAATATATATAATCTACAGTACTAGTGAAGTACAAAGTGGTATGGGAGAGTCCTAATTTCTTTCCCAAGTTGTGATCGGACACAAAATCCCGTCTTTAATTGATAAACTGGATCATAAACAGCCGCAAAATCAAAAGCATTATTTTATTCAATAAAAAAACAAAAAAAAAACTTATTTAAATCCTTTCCGTTATTAAAAAATAAAAAAAAATAAAAAAATCGAAATAATCTAAAACATTAATGAATATAAGTGTTTCTGATACAACCAAGAAAATTTTTATAAAGTTTTTGTTCGGTACTTATTCTCAAGTAATAAAATTTTGCTAGATCTACGTTTACAAGCTTGTAATTTTAAAATATACCAACTTCGTTTCAAAATTCCTTAATTATATTCCAGGCTACAATTTTTAGTTTTGTTTAATAAAAAATAATTGACACGATATTGTTACAAGGATTTTACTAAAACGCACCTATGGTGTTTTTACACCTATGGTCCCGTTTCTCAAAAACGTACTAAGTAAACGGGATCGGGTCCTCTAAGTAAAAATGTTCAGGACCCCCAAAAACCTCACGAGAACTGAGATCGGGCCCTATCGGGCCCTTATAGTAGCTCTATAATATTTTATATAAAAAAAAAAAAATTCTTAATTTCCTAACCCTAACCCTAAATTTTATTAAAATAAATTATACATAGGTGTAAAAACACCATAGGTGCGTTTTATAATAATTCTTGTTACAATATTGCAAATAAATAAAGTGATACTGAAATTGCTAATTAATAGATTTGTTTTAATACTAATATAATAATACAACTCAAGTTTTCAAAAGCTATTTTCTCGAAAGGCAATAATTAGTCAGTATTTATTCTTTTTGAAAAATATCTTTCAAAATCATACAGTAACAAATTTTACTTCTAAGTTACTAAATAATTAGTAAATTATTTTCACACGTCTACAAAAACAAACCCAAAAAATAAAAATAATGTTTATTTTGTTTTTGGACTTTCATAGCATTATGACTTAAAATAGGTATATTATTTCAATTAAAAATTCTACATATTGTAGCAAATTTTACAGTAATATTAATATTCGATAAAATTGTTGAAAATTTATTTAATCGTTCACACGAACTTATTTACTAAAAAACTTGAAAATGCAAAAATCAAAAGAGTATTAAACAGCGAAAAAATTATTTAAAAAAATTTTAATCAATATGTAATCATTGTGAAAATAATATTTGAGACACATTATATTGATGTAAATGGTTTCATCCGATGGAAAATGATATTTGTTAGGGAGAGATTAGTAAACCCAGTGGTATGGTTTATACATTCGAAACCAGCAATAAATATTGTAAAAAAATCTTTTACAAAAAATAGCAATGAATCTCAGTTGGACATACTTGTTATGCTAGTAATAAACCTTTTTATTAATAACAAAAATCTCTAATGCAAATTATTTAATAATATATAAAAACCTAGAGTCAAGTTTTTTTAATTATATAATGTTACAATATGATAACTACTGCATTATTCTCTAGTATTTTAATAGCTGTTATAAACAAAAACCTTACAGGATTAGATCCAAAATTATTTAGAACTAAAGCTTCAAAATTAAAATATAACATGTTAACTTTTGATAACTATAAGGTTAAGGGCAAAAAACAAGGCATTAAAATATGAAAAAACCTTGAATATTCAATAAATAAGACTGAGTTAACAAAATAATGTGATAAATTTTATTATCTTTCACCGATATAGCCATCCTGTGAAGATAAAAACTTTATAAATATTTAGCTAAAAAAAAAAGGTGGCGGGTATTCATACCCCAATTTTGTTATTCATACCCCCTGTAAACTAAAAAATTTTTTAATTTTTTCAAAAGATATCTCGACAACCACCAAATCAAATTCGATAATCAATTTTTTATTTTGATTCTACATGTTTGTAGAATTCGAAAAAAAAGGTCATCGAATTTGACTTGGTAGTTGTCGAGATATCTTCGCGCAAAGTTTGAGAAGTTTTGGCGCAGCTTTATTTTGATAGACGTTTTGAGTTTTCTTAAAACTTTGGGCGAAAATATCTCGACAACTATCCAGTTAAATTTTATAAACATTTTTTTATTTGCATTCACAGATTCGTAGAATTCAAATAAAAAAAAGTTGATTGAATTTGACTAGGTGGTTGTCGAGATATCTTCAGAGAAAAATTTGGCGAGCTTTATTTTAATAGACATTTTGAGTTTTCTTAAAACTTTGAGTGAAGATATCTCGTCAATCATCTAGTCAAATTTAATAAACTTATTTTATTTTAATTCTACAGATTGTAGAATTTAGATAAAAAAAGCTCATCAAATTTGACTTGGTGGTTGGCGAGATATCTTCGTTCAAAGTTTTAAGAAAACTCAAAACGTCTATCAAAATAAAGCCGTGCCAAAACTTAATCAAACTTTGAGCAAAGATATCTCGACAACCACCAAATCAAATTCGATGAACTTTTATTCAAATTCTACGAACTTGTAGAATCCAAATAAAAAATGTTTATCGAATTTGACTTGGTGGTTGTCGAGATATATTTGCTTAAAGCTTGAAAAAAAAATTTTTTTGGGTACGAATAACAAAATCGGGGGGTATGAATATCTGCCGCAAAAAAAAAAAAAAGCTTAATGAAACAACTATTGTCAATGCCAACCTTTTCAAGCAATAGAACAATTTGATGACAAATTTCACTAACGCTTTGTTTACTCGTATCGACAACAATATCTGCATTTGTAGGTTTTTCATAAGGATCATCGACACCTGTAAACCCTTTAATCTCGCCAGATTGTGCTTTCTGCATAAATAGAACGAGCAAATTACATGTTACAAACTAAAGAGAACAAGAAATCGACTATGCTCACATTGTAGAAGGCATTTAGAAAGGCATACCTTATAAATACCCTTTCTATCGGTTTTAATACAATATTCTAGAGGAGTATTAACGTGAATTAAATAGAAGCCACCATAAGTTTCAACCAGTGCTTTTGCGTTATTACGTGCTTCTGCATATGGTGCAATTGGCGCGGCAATAACTGCTGCACCAGCTTTCGTGAGTTCTGCAGATACAAAACCTATACGAGCAATATTTTGATCGCGATCTTTTCGAGAAAAGCCCAATTCTGAAAAAATACTATTTAATTATCAAAGTTTATGTATAGCACTAGATTTAAAACATTTTCTTACCGGATGAAAGTTCATGACGTACAATTTCACCCAACAACAAAGTGACTGACCTTCCACCTTGTTCATTGAGTACAACTTGCAAAGCCCGACCAATGGCAGCTTTGCCACAATTATAATATCCCGTTAAGAACAATGTGAAACCTTGTTTTGACCTTGGTGGATGCGTGTCTTGAAGTACTTTAACCACTTCAGGATACGAAAACCATTCAGGAATATGTGCGCCAGTCTTCAGACGTCTTCTTAATTCAGTACCTGAGATATTCAATGTTCGTGTACCTTCTGGCACTTCATCAATCGCCATATATTCATCAGAATCAGGGATATAGGTCATCATTTGGAATGGAACAACTTCAATTTGGAGTTCATCCTGATATTTTGTTACAAGTTCCTATATTGTACAATAATATAATAGTAATTTAATTATAATGTTTACTGAGCATATTTAATTACAATCATAGTATATACAATATTCTTACCTGTGCTTCATAAGGTTCATAAAAATCTTTACCTTCTGAATTCTTTCCGGGACCAGCATGATCTCTACCAATAATGAAATGCGTAGCACCAAAGTTTTTTCTAATAATAGCATGCCAAAGAGCTTCTCTCGGACCACCCATTCTCATAGCCAATGGCAATAAACTTAATGTTGCCATCCCATTGGGGTATTTTGGCATGATAGCTTGATAAACACGCACTCTAGTGTAATGATCGATATCACCAGGTTTAGTCAGGCCAACTACAGGATGAATAAGAACATTCGCTTGTCGAATCCTTGCAGCCCTAACAGTTAATTCACGATGTGCACGATGCATTGGGTTTCGCGTTTGGAATGCGACAACACGATTCCAGTGGAGTTTTTTGAAATGAGCACGAAGTTCGGCAGGTGTATCTATTCAACATAATACAATGATAAACTAAATTATTGACAGATTAAATACACATTTATACATACACCGGCGTGCGACATAGTCGTAATGTATTGGTGGCTGAATTGCCTCAACATTGCCACCGATATAATATTCCTTGACTTTATATTTAAGATAATTAACGCCAGGATGTTTTTCATCATTATCACCAAAAACATTTATTGCTTCTTCAACTTTATCTGGACGATATATATCTTGAATTGTTAAAATAGCTAATGGCGAATCATCTCGAAAATCACGCAATACTAAACGTCTGCCTGGTGCAAGATCAAGTGTTTTTATAACATTTTCAGAGACATCAAGTGTGATAGGCATTGACCATAGATACCCATTTTTAAGCCGAAGGTTGCGCACGACACTGATTGCAAAAAAAAAAGGAATAAATTATTTTTAATAAAGCGGAATTTTTTTTCATTCTATTCAGAAAGAATGATCACAAATATACTTGAGTGTCATCTAAACATTCTAAAAAATATATTATTCAAGATTAGAGTTGTTAGAGTTGTTAAGTGGTCTCGAAATGTTCTTAAGAGTTTTAATTTCAAAAAGGTTTATAATTCAATTTTAATAACTTGGTCTGAGACCAGTCTTTCTTAAGTTCTAAGATTTAAAATTCTGAAATTTTTAAAAAATTTTTATTACTTATTGCAATAAGTAACTCAATTAGCAATTTATTAATTTATTATAAGACCATACAAATTAAAAAAATTTAAAATGAATCGTTTTTTATTTTAAATTTTATTAAATTTATGTACATATTTGCATATTCACCCGAGAAATTTTTATAATAAAAATTGCCGATAACGAAAAAAATTTTGCATGGCTTAAGATTACATTTAAAAATTTAAGACCATTTAAGACTATTTAACATCTCTATCCGAGATTTAATAACTAACCTTAAATAATCATCTTGGTTCATAAATCCTTCTAAGGGAGAAAATCCCCCATTCATGATAAGTTCCAAATCACATAATTGACGATCAGTCAATACTATAGTGGGCAAAGATTCTGCTTCGATTCGTAAAGATTCATTCTTATGAGCATCTCGAACATGCGCATCTTTAAGAACTCCACCATGGGGAATGTTAGCCATCAATTAAGAACTAGTGAAGATCACTTAAAATCAAAATGTAACATTTCTATCCAATAAAACTTTTTTTTTCATATAGTACTACCTATCACTACCCGTCGATTTATCTATTATTTGCGCGGGTAACACAAACCAAAAAAGGAAATCGAGTTTTAAAAATAGAAATTTAGGATGTTAGTGTTGTGAGCTACAGCGATAAGTTAGAGTTTCTTACGTAAAATTTCATTCCCGTTATTAGTCCACCAAAGTCGATTTAAACATTAATTTTTGAGTATTTCGCCTTCTTTTCTTTCGCATGTGTTTGGATTATTTGTCGGGCTGATCCGGAATACCCAAAATTTGTGTTCTCTGATTGGCCATTTCCTTTGTAGGTTTGTATTACCCGCGCGTTGCAAATATCCCTACCTTAGGCTTTAAAAAACTTTGGGTTTCCAAATCAAATCGTAGCAAAATAAGAAACACGGCAGCCCGAATATACATTGAGGAATACCGAATGTTTTAAAAGTCATTAAACTGTGATAATTTTACCTGAATTTATTGTAACCTCGCATAATTCTGTATAATTTTTAAATTCTAACCTTGCGTTAAGTCACGTGATCTCTCGGATCCCAAATTTTGGTATCAGTAAAAAAAAAAAAGAACTTGGGTAAACGCACATACGCATTTACGAAAGTAATTCACCCATAAAAATAATTCTTAAAATGACAGACAACGTATAGTATAGCTTGTATACTCAAATTTTGACTTGGATGACTTGGAAGAATAAATTAAAAAGGGATTGTTCTTCAGCATTTAATGCCAAATGGCACGTTTTTATAAGTCTTCTATCGTCATCTATTTTGCTCCAATACGGCTACAAGAGATCTATAATTCTGGATGTTATCAAATATTTCGAAAAGCATTCGTTTGGTACTAACCGAATTTGCGCACATGGGCGTTATTTCTGAACTCTCATTTTTTAAAATTTGTTTTTTTTTGACCCCATGCGCGTCCCAAAATAACGTGCCCCCTTAAATATACCGTATTACATATTTGACCGAATTTTTCGGGCTAAGTTCATTAATAAAAATAGGGCTTCCTCTTGTAACCCAAATTTGTAAAAATGATTCGAACTACCGCACATACACGTCCCGAAATAACGCGCAGGTGCGCGTTATTATGCGCAAATACGGTAGTGAAAGATCCATTCACTTTCCGAGATCGGGTTGCCAAAAGGATGCTAATATTGGTATTTGTCATCATCAAAGAACCGGAGTCGATAAGAATAAACTTAAAGACCGTTTTCAAAAATCAAATGAAGTGGGAAATATTTAATTGTCAATGTTGGCATTTGACTATGTTTAATAAAAATTTCATTTGGACATGGACATATTGACATATAAAATTTATATGTCCAAATTCACTTATTGCCAACATTGGTAATTGTCATCAAGAAGGTACTGGGGTTAAAAAATGTGAATAAACCGAATGATTGGCTGAGTAAATCAATTGCCCAGGTAACTTATTTTAGTATATTTATATAGTTTAAAGTACTTTTTGAAAATATAACAACTGTTCAGGTGTTATCAAAGCTGAGACGGGATATTCCAATAGAACATGTATTGTTGGATATTGTTATGATACTACAATTGACGTTGAAAAGGGTTTCATGAATTATAGGAATCCAGAAAGTGGAACAGTTGGGAAAATAAGAATTCAAAAGGAATATTTGTTTGTTTGAATTCTGATGAAAGTGGACAATCTAAACCTGAGCAGTGTAGAGATGGCATAAGATTGGTGAAATATGAAAAGAAGTCATTCGAATGTATTCAAAGTCTGTCAGAAATTACGATCGAAACGTAACTGGTGATGAAGAATATGCTAATTGGTTATCAAAAATCTGCAGACACAGTGTTGATATTGGACAATGTCCAATAATTTAATTGGACGTTGGACTATGTCCAATTTGTTCAATACCGTAGTGCACTGACCAAAGTACCCCCTTTAGGGATGGAAAATGTTTTAAAACGGAATGTTTTAAAACATGATTGTTTGATTTAAAACTGTTTTTAAATGATTTAATACA